TTACAAATTAACTTCTATGGGGAATCCACTGAATCCAAAATTATATTTAATGCATGGATTAGTTGATGGCAAAAAAAAAAAATCAATCGTTAGTGTCCATAGAGTAAAAGTACCTAAATACAATTTTGTAATGAGATGCGTTTTTCTATTTTAAATATTTTAATGAAATGTTTAATTTAATAAGAACATTAAATGACTAAATATATAAAATTCAACCATTGAATACAACAAAACTCCATGGATAAACTCCCAAGATTCCTTACAAAAAAAAAAAAAAATGTAATACATATGATATAGTGGCGAAACGTCATTAAGTTAGACCGAATTAAAGTAGTCCAAAGAGCGAAGCAAAAAGTCCATGAAAATGACCATCTGTCTTTCTTTCCAGGGCACGCGCGCTTCATTCTTTTCTTCCTCGTGGACCAAATTGAGAGCCGCCGCTGGAAAAACTAAAGAGGACGCGTCCAAAGAACACGGTTTCAATTAAGAGGAAAGAGAGGCTTGTTCTAAAAGAGAGATACTTTATCCAGAGAGAATCCTGAAAAGCGATCAAAAATAATGTGCTCGCTCGCTGCGCTCTCTCGCCACTCGTAAAAAAGGACCATCAGCGAGAGAGCAATGAATTAGAGAGGAAAGCTCTCATTAGGGCGCAACAGCATTGTACAGGTGCATCCGTCGCAATTTGCCAAAGTGTCCTCGCCCGAGATGAAAAAGGACGGGTGGATGGACCGTCATTACGCTTAATAATTCATCTCGCTCAGGCAACAAAACCGAGAGTTATTTATTGCCGTCGCCGCTCGTTAAATTCCATTTTTGCTGCTAAATTATTTATGGGAAAAGTTTCAACACTTCGTTTTTCTCATTAAAGCGCCAACTTTCAAATTAAAAAAGTCCTTCCTCAAAAGGGGCCAAAGTGAAATATGAAATTTTCGGGCTCCGCTTTAACCAGAGGGTGTGAATAATAATTTCCACTTTGCGCTCTAATCTGCGGCCGGTGGAATAATTCACTTGGGCTAAATGACCTTTTTCGGGGTTGGCTGGGTCGCTTTTAGCCCTGCGCTCTCTCGACACAGAAATTCATGCAAAATCCAACAGGTACATGTATTCGTTTCCTCGTATTTCGGGACCGGCAAAGGTGAAAGTAGTAAAATATTGAAGAGAGCCTCTTGAATGAAAAAGTGAGCATGCGACTGACTGCCGAGATAGGGCTGCGACGCGGCCGGAATGCGAATAAAGAAAAGGCACGACGCCGCCGGGAGCAGACTTTGAAGAGCGCGTGCATGAAAGCAACCTGTGCTCCCTTGTTTAAAAATTACACACGCTGCAAAGGTGGGCGGATGAAAGCTTGGAAATACAACTTTGTTGAGAAACAAGTTTAAAACAAACACATTCTCTTCATTGTTTCTGAGTGAATAAGACTAAAATGTTGCTCTGTCAAAGACAGAAATGGGAGTAAACGAAAAAAAAAGGAAATAAAAACATTTTGATTTTCATATATGTATGTATTGATGATGGTTATTTGGTACATAATTAAAATACTGAAAGTGTTATGTTATTGTATACTTTTGATTACAAAAATTAATGAATCGCTTTAGGAAATAATAATTCATAGAAAATTGAATTAATGTAAATTAGTTCAAAATAAAATATAGTTAAATAAATCTGAAACCAAAAGACAATAGATAAAGAGTAAAAAATGATTTGAATCGTCAGCATATTCGATCCGTTCTTGAGAAAATTTCTGTTGGTTTTAACTTAAGCATCGCTACCATCAAATACTGTAGATCTACCACAGAAATCTTAAGCTCATTTTAAGCATCAACAACAACGTTCACGACGAAGCGATAATTGAGCATCCCCCGTAGCGTTGCGGCTCGGGCCGGGAATGCTACGCTAATGTATAGACAGCAGCTTAATTAATAACAATGACAAAACACAAAAGACGCGCTGCAGCCCTTCAAAGACGACATCGCAAGTGCCGGTCGTATAAGTAAGGAGCTTAATGTTCGCAACGTTCCGCTTTTCCGATTCCCTCCGCGTGCATATTCTCGGCACATGCATAACAAACAGGCCGTCTTTAATACTGGGAGCCATTTTTTTTCTTGGGACGAGAGCGCAGTAATCTGCTTTCAAGATGAAAGAGGTGCATGCAAAGCACCATAGTTTTCAAAAGGAGCGTATTGTTCTCAAATAAAGCAACTAGAAAAGTTTGCTTCTTATTAAAGATGTTAAAGACCGACAGATGCGTAAGTTATACATATTCGGAAAAACAAAAATCTTTAAATTTGAATGTATTGAAAAACTTTTACTATTCTTACAATCTACTACATATATCTTTGCAGGATCAAAACAAGAGATAATCACAAAATTAATTCATGTAATATATCAGCAATTCGTGCACTGGATAGGGTGAGATTGGGAATTGGTTTATTTATAATTTAAATCTTCATGACTATTTGCTCTTGCACATAAGCATTATGCAGAAATTAATCTATTTAGTTTCAGTGAATAATATTTGCTTCCTTAACTAGAACTACTAATAAAGCTGCTAGCCCAGGTTGAAATTTCAAGAATTGCATTGACATGCAGGAATTACTGTAGCAGGGTAGGATGAGATTGTATAAAAAAATTGGCAGAAACGTGATTATATTATTTAAAATAAATAAGTGCTAAGCAGAAAAAAAATTCAATAAAAACTTGTATAAAAAAATAAATCATAAAAATGTTAAAAATAATTTAATTTAAAAAAGCCTTTAAAGATAAAAAAATAATATAATTTATGGTAAATATTAAAAATTTTAAATATATTTTTAAAACATTATAAACTACTAAGTCTACGTTTTATTTTATAATTGATATTCAATCAGGATAATATTTTTTGATCCAATTTAGTGTGTGCATAATAAATAAGAAGGGAAAATATTTTAATTTATTTAAGAATAAGAAACGCACTCACCCCATACGCCATTGCGGAAGGTCTGTCAAATCGGAGGTCACCGTGCGCGACCAATCAAATTACGGAAGCTCTGCGGCCCCGATTAATCGGGCTCATTTGGGAGTGCGGGCGCGCGTGTTGTTGGCCGCCGCGTGCTCGCCCACTCACTGATCTGCGACCGGCTTTTTCGACCCCCAGAAAACACACTCACACACATGTAAACCCCTCGCCCGCCCCGCAGCCTGCCTTAACCTATTCTGTCGGAGTGTGTGTGTTAAAACAGTGGTGGTGTGCGGGGGGCGAACCGCGAGGAGGAAATCTCTGCTGTGCACTCACGAGCCGCCACAATCATCCCTTCCCTTTCATTTTTATCTCGCCACCCCGCACATCGCAAATCCTGCGACTTGTGCGATTCCGGACGCTTTTGCTTTGCATCGTTTTCTTTCTTGGCCGACCGGCCCAGCCTCTTCTCGAGTCTATCGCTCGATAATTCTGCCGCCGCCGCCGCTGCAGTGCCGGCTGCCTACCCATTCACAATGGGCCGCAGCCTTTGAATGGGGAGCCACCACCCGGCTGAAGCGAATGCTGCAGCCGCTTATTGAGTGCTCACTCACCTTTGGGCTTTTCGGCCGGAATCGGTGCAAAATGATGGATTTCGAGGGCACTCGTCGCACACATGAAAGCATCGGCTCTTCTTTTGCCTCAAAGAGTCAATAGACGCTTTCATCCCTCTTTCTATTTTTGCCCTGTTCTATCTCCCTTCAAATGAGGATTTGAGATGCCAGGAAAAGCAATTTAAACCATCTATGTGAATGTTTCATTCTTTAGAGTTTATGTATGCGATTAATTAATTGATAATTTACGGAAATTTATTTATTTTTTATTGCCATTAATTCTGATATCGGATGATATTATTATGTTCAAATCTAATTAACCAGATAATTACTGATGTTGGCATACTTAATATTTTAAGAATTCCATTTTTTTTTTAATTATCTAGTAAGCATAAGAAAATTTTTAATTTTAAGTTTTTTAATAAAAAGCATTGTTACAGTCAATTTAGGTATGGTTCAAAGACAGTAAAAATACAATAATAAAACAAAAATAAAAAATAAAAAACTTACTTCAAATTTGTATATTACTTTCGTTTTAAAAACTTCTTAAACTATTATTTAAAAAAAAAAGTTTGCAAGCGCATTGTAGATTGAAATTAAAAATTAAATCACCTATATATTTTTACATCCATTTTTTTTCTAAATTTAAAAACAACTTTATTATTCCCAAAAGACAGATATTCAAATTGAATGCAGCAAAGAAAAACTGCATCAACGCACGTGTGCACCACACTATTTACCCGCATGAGTCCCTCGTTGTAAAAAGTCCTTTTTTGGCGTTTTTAGCCGCAAAACCACCATGGCCGGGCTAAGCCGACATTCGTACGTGCACACACGCATAATAAAAACGCAAAAGTTGCCAGTGCGGGTGCGAAACAAAAGGAAAAACTGCTCGTCGAGCACCACTCATGCACACCCGAGTGTGGCGTATAATCAACCCTGCCCGTCTCCCTCCTTTTTTCCGCACAAATAATGCACCAGGCGCTGCTGCTGCTGCATCAATTGCAGAAAGGGGTGCTGGTGGATTTTGGCGTCGGATTCAATGCGAGCCGAGCCAATATCAAATATGAAAAGCAGTCGACTGAATGGTGTCGCTGCGGGAATCAAAAGAAGAAAATAGTTTGCTCTCTGGTGGTGGCGCAAACGGCTCGGCTGAGGCCGGGGCAAAAAAAACACACTTTGCGAGATGAGAAAGAGAGCCAAGTCATATATAGAGAGTGCAGGCAGCATTTGCGGCTGCGATGGCTTAGTTAGGCACTCGAGATATGTGACATCGTACGGAATTAGCCATGAAAATGTTACGGTCTAGGCGTGCGCAGCATTTTCATCCACAAGATGCCAAGCATCTGATGTAAACTTTGAGTTGATCTTGAATTTGTTTGTAAAAAAAATCCCCCCTTTCACTGTTCGTTAAATTTTTGTACTTATTTCAAAAAGAGGAAAATTTATATAAAATTTATGGAAATAAACTTGGAGATTATTGAATTTAGATTTAATTATTATTTATTATCAATATTATTGTATTTTTAGTACATGGTAATATTTTGACATCATAAAAATTTTACATTTTCTCGTTTTTCTGGTGCAGTCCCACTTAACATCTCAGTTTTAAAGTGCCTGTAAAAGGTGGAGGGCTTAACGAAATACCCTCAACCCACTTCAGTTTGTCCTGGGCATTTGGGTCAGGCTCAATGTTGAAATTCTGCAATATATTTGTCATGAACAGGAACATGGAGCAGAAAGCAATGAAGTCCCCAGGACTGCGTCTATGTCCTATCAAATAACAATTTTGAATTGACCAATATTTAATTTTCACCAAAATTAATTACCCAGTCCAAAAGCAATGTTCACCCTTTCGTCATGAATGAATTCTGTTTTTTCGGCATTTAAGAATCTCTCTGGCCTAAATATTTGAGGGTCTTTCCAGTATCCCTTGTCCATCAGTGCTTGATGCAGAACAGGCAGAATAAGTGTATCCTTCATTATATTCAATAAAAAAAAAAACATTAATTTAATCAATAAAGAAAATGAATTTTAAAAACTTTTGGAATTTGATATTGCAGCAGAGTTGTGTCCTTCGTCGCCCGTCGAGCCATTGCAATAGGTATAATTGTTCCGTAGCGCAGAGTTTCCAAATTAAACGCCCGCATCCATATCATTCTAATATAAAAATTTCAATTATAAAATTAGCTGCGACTTTTTTAAATAACTCATTATAGTGTTCCATAGTGGGTGGTGAATTTCTGCCAATGAAATGATCAATTTCAGCTTGAAGTTTTTTCTGCAATTCTGGGTTCTGTGCAGCAAAATGAATCATGTCGACCATGGCGTCACTATTTTTGATCATGCCAACCGTCAGAAGGTCCAGCACTGTTGATAACAATTGTTTCTCTACAAATATTTGAATTCGTTTTTTAGAGGCAGAGGGAAAAATTGCAAACAAACAAAATCACCATTGAAAACATCGCTCGCAGAGGTCTGCTTGTACATTTCTTCGAAAAACAAATCAACGAAGTTGTTGTGCTCTGCGTCCGTGTAAAGGTTTATCATGTGCCTATGAATAACTTTCTGGAAAAGTTTCAATACAATGCATGATGCTATTTTATGATGACTCAAAATAAATAGATATCAATTAAAAATACACAATATAATGCGTTGTTGAACATTTGCATGATAGTAATTGTAAAACTAAATTTATTAAACAAAAATTATTTAGCCAATAATTTTGAACTGTACCTGCAGATATTTTTGCAAAGGCTTTATAGCGTTTTTGAGTCCATTATAGCCGGACATGTTCGGAGCAACGTGTCTGATCCACGGCAGTCTGCTCAAAATTCCTCCTTTTCCATCAAAGTTGTTCAAAAACGTTGTAATCAAATCAAGAAGGTGTTTGAATTCTTTGTCATCAAAATCGAAACGCTTTCCAGTGAACAACAACCACTGGCTGTTTAAAATTGTCAGTTTGAATAGCTCATTCAGATTGATATCTTTGGGCACCTGTTTTTTTTTTTAATTTATTTATTATAAAAAAAATATAATTTATTTATATTAAGTATACAGAATACCTCATTTTTATCCCCGCAGCTTTTTTTCAACCTGTCGACTAATTCCAAAGCAGTCTCCTTAATATGCCAATTCATTTGTCCCATTCCGCCGCCCACATCTCTTAAGCATTTCACAGTAAAATTGCGCAGAGCCGTGTAAACTGGTCCGTCGGCAAAAGCAATACCTTTTTGTAGTTCAAACAATTTTTTTTTATAAATCAAAAACATTTTGAATTATTTATTACCTAGTTTTTCTCCATAAGTCCTCATTGTGAAAACGTATGAATTGGGCCGTCCCTGGAAATCCTCTCTTTGTAAGACGCTTTTCATTATTTCATAATCGGTGACGACCACGGTCACGTCCTGGCCTAATTTCAGCCCGTAGACGGGGCCAAATTTTTCTGACAAATTTTCCAGCGCCAAGTACAGGTAGCCCAGTTTCCATTTCAGATAGTAGAAAAGATGCAAATTTCCAAAGATGGGCAGAAGCCATTGTGGGCCTTAGATTTTAGATATTATTTGTATTTGGGAAAATACTAGAAAATTGCAGCAAATCAAACTTTTACCTGGAGGAAAATTTGGCGGCCGCCGGCACTCTTTTAAAATGAAATAGGCGAGAAGCACAATGAGAGGCACGAACAATATTTCCAGTAGCATTCTAAAGCTTGAACAAAACTAATCTGAAGCTGATTCGGATTTTGAATAATATATATCATGAGTTTATTATTGATATGGCCAAAGATTACTTGATATTTATCATCTTACTTGATGGTGATGTTACATTGAATACATATTAGCCATTCAAAGGTCGGCTAAAATTTATTATAATCATAACTACGACAACGAAATTCATTGTTTGAGCATCAAATTCATAGTAAACAAGTTAAGTGTTTGCTCTTCTTTGTTATTTATTATATTTATTTATTCACATTATTTAAAAAGTAATAACTTACTTCATCAAATGTTTTTTAGCTTTTAGTAATCAACAATCCTAATCTCTAATTTTTGCGTGAGCTTTTTTACTATTGTATCAGCCACTAAAAATTAATAGTTTGAATAAACGCACGACATCAAAAGATCCAAAGAATCAACAAAAATTGGGCTTCTTTGGTTTTTGTTTGAAAATGATATTATTCTGGAAGTTATAAATCATCTTTTTCTGTACTTTCACTATCTCTGTTCACTATGTGTACCGGTATGTGCTTTCATAAAAAATATAATACCGTTGTTTGAATCAAGAAAAATTACATGTCACCCGCGCACGAAGCAGCGGAGAGAACGATGCCGACAATACATCTTGCTTTTGCTTTGTTCCTGCTCAAGTGGTCGAGTCTGGACCGCCACTCGGCAGCAAAAAACAGATAGATCCTTGTCTAGACGGCATGAGCAACTCAAATAATATGACGTTCTGGTGTCGCTACAGCGTCTCGACGTCGTCCCGCTGAAGAAAAATGCATCTTATTCATCCCCGTCAGCCGAATCCCCCCGCCCGAAAAAAGGTAAGACGCATCTGCACCGTAAACAAGAATTCGATTTAATCAAACGTGGGCTGAAAGAACTTCCTCCGCAATTTGCAAGGGGAAGGAAGAAGACGGAAAATCTCCCCGCGAGCTGTAGAAGGTACTCAAGAGAGACCCTAATTAATTGGAATTCCTTTCAAAAGTCGAGCGCAAACTTTTTCAAGTAGAAAAGCGATTCGGCTCATTAGGGAATCAAATTCAGCCACGGAAATTTCGATTTGATAATTATAATATAATAAACGAGAGGAGGTTACCAACGTTTTGATGAAAATCTGTTAATCCTCTCAAGCGTTAATGTGAGAATATTTATATTTAAAATATTAAATACAAAAATATTACCATTTTCTGCTTAAATTTTTTTGTGACGTTCTTTTTCTATAAACTTGTTATAACTGTTCAGGTTATATTAAAAAAAAAATTAAATATAATAATTAAGTTATACACCAGCAATCAGATGTAATAAAAAATTCAATCTTATTTAAATAAAAAATAATATATATATAGAAATTTATTAAACACAAAATGTGTACAACTTTTCAACGTACAATTAATCCACAATTCAAGCACTGAAATTTTTAATAGACGAAATAAATAAAAAATAATTATGCATTAAAAAATTAAAAAATTGTTTCTATGGATTTGAATTTCAGCGCGCTTTGCTTGTTTTGCGGCATCGCGGTGTGTTGCAGAAAAGAGTTGCCATGGCGACTGGTGGTGATGCTGGAGCGAGACGCGGGATGACTCATCCTCCCTCGGCTGCATAGTGTGGCACAGCGGCTTGCTCAAGGGCGATATAATACATCACGTGAAACACCCCCAAAGGGTGCTCACGCAAAAACACGGCGCGCATCTTTTTCAATTTTATTAATCGCGGGGGAAATTCGGGCCGGCCGGATTGAAGCGGCCCGGAGCACTTAGCAAATTAACGTACGTGCACGTCTGTCACTCTTGGTGAGGCAACCGCCCGACTGGGAATTTAATTACGTCTACTCAGATGACACAGAAATCAATTACAGTCTATACTGTGGGAATTTTTTTAATTGATGCTGGTTAGAAATAAAAGATGCTGAATATAATTTTAGATTCCTATTTTCAAATTTACAATTTTTTTTTTTAATATTCCTTTGCCGAGGAACCTTCATTAAAATAGATAAATATAATGAAGAAAAACGATAAAATGTTATAATATTGTTATGTATAATATGAAACGCCATTTGCTGAGTCAACCTGTCAAAAATCTTGATATTGAATAATAAATTCAGGGAGTTTCTCTTTACACTCTTGGTACTTATATGCTTCCTTTCTTGGGACAAAAGCGTAATAAAGTCGTAAACTTTTTCAGCCGAGCTACTTTTCCTCACCGGAGGCGCGCATCTGGTGCCGTGCCGGAGGAATGGCAATGATGATCCAGCAGAGTCAATAGAGAAGACAAACTTTCTGTCACACCGGATTAGCTTTGGCTCGTAACTAAGCAAGAGGTGCGTGTGTTTTATTTACTCAACGGAAAGAGAGAAAAACAACAAGGAAGAGGGAAAAAAGAAGGAGTAGAGGGAAAAGAAGTGCTTGGAGGAGAGACACAAACGGGTGCAGTACAAATCGCGCGGCTACTTTTTCTAATCATCAGCGTCCAAGGGCAAATTGTGTTTTATTGCGGTGCTTTTCTTTTTCTCCCGTCGGCTGAACGCAATAAGCAGGAAAAAGTGTGCGCCTTTATATTACACTCGTAAATTGCGACATTTACTTCGGCAGATGGGAATTTAGTTATTTATCCGCAGTCGAGGGTTGGGATTAGGGCCCTCTTGAACACTTTTTCTCTTTCTGTTTTTCGGACGCAGCTGCTCCGACTCGAAAGTTGAAGAGAAATGAAAAATAAGCGCGGGAGGGGTGCGTACTTTTCGATAACAAATGACTTCTGGTGACAACCGAGTGACGAGAGCGATGACTTTCTCCCAGGGGGCGGTTGCTCCAATCACAAACTTCCACTCCATCGCCTGCAATGTTTTTCACTCAAACTTTTAACAAATCGAAGACGAAATAAGTCTGTTATTTTTTGCCTGAACTTTGGGTCGTAAGAAGATTATTAGTTAGTTATGCAACCGGGCGTGCTCGCGAGGCGAGCGGGTTGCTTCTTGCAAGTTGAGAAGGGGCCCTGCTCAAGCCGGCTTTTCATTAATTGCGCATTCTGGGCAGGTGAATATTGAGTCTGTGTGTGTTTTATTGGAATTTGGCGTAGCAACTTTGTCGGACGAAAGGCGAGGAAATACAATTTCCTCAATTACGAGACGGCGAGAGTGGAGGCGGAACGGGTCGGGGGTGGTTGTTATAACCAATAAATTGTCACGTAAATGGTTCATAAGCAAAGAGGGAAGGCGGCTTTGTTGCGAAAATGAATTATATACCTCAAATATAATAACGGGAGCTCCAAGGGCTCGAGGGTTAAGAAGGAAAGAGTCGCTGCGCAGCTCAAGTTGCTGCTGGCGTTAATTTACGGCTGCGAAAGCGGCTTTTGTCAGAGCAGGCTGAGCTTTTCGGCGCAATCGTGAATTATCCGACCCCATTGGTTTGCACTTTCACACTTTTAATGAAAGGGAGAGAGGCAATTAATCATACTTATTCTTAATTTGGCATTCAAAATACACAAACCGGAGCCAAACCAAAGTCGTTACTCTCAAGAGGGTGAAAACTTTTGCCCTCTTTGCTAATTATTTCTTTTTTAATATTTCCTTTGATGAGATTTTATGGAAAAGAATAATAATGAAATAAAATGTTTTTTCTCTCTCTAATTGGGGAGAGACAGAGCTCTATTTTATACCAGTCAAAATTTTTATGGAAAAATATATCAAATTGTTTTCTTTAAATTTAAGTGTTTTTAAATCACTTGAAAGTGTTTTTGACGGACTTTTACGTAAAAGATGAAGGCCAGACCAAAACACAGGCTCTCTCTCGTCAGGCAGGTCGAAAGAAGGAAATTGCCTTCAGCAGCAAGACACACTTTAGCGAAGGCGACGTTTCCATCCGAAATCTGGCTGGCGCCGCGGCAACCCTCTTTGTGCTTTAAAGCCTTTCAGGCAATGCATCAAGTTTAATTAAACTCCTATATCATACCGCTTCTTCTTCTTCTTCCTCCTCGCCGGCCTCGCCTGTTGAAAAAGAGCAACAGCGGAGAGCGGGGAGGGAACTGGAGCCCCAGCGAGCAAGATTTTGCACTTCGAAGCATCAACTTTTTCCATCCATTACAATCATTCACTCGTCTGCCGATGCGTGTTTGTTTCTTCCCGAGTGTTGACCTTAATGACTCATTAGTGCGGAGTAAACGCTCAAGCAAGCGGGGCCAGTCATTTGTCACGCTCAAAATCACACGCGCCGCTCGGTAATGACCTTCCAGACATGCAGGATAAACCGCACACGTATATGAGTTTTGCGCAAATGATTTTCTCACGCTCTGTACCCATAACGTTGGTTAGCGAGTGCTAAAATGAGCAAAAATTGTTTATAAAGAGAGCAATTTTTCTACTCATAAAAAGCAGTTCCGTAATTTCAGTTCTTCAAATTTTTTTTGCAAATATATATTTTAAATATGAACTTTCAGAATAGGGTGAATCTATTTTCTTTTTAAACAAAATAATATATTTCATACTTTCTGAATTCCGTCCGTTTTGTCTTTCGAAACACCACTGGTGATGAAAAAAAGAATTTATTTTCACATTATATAAGACACTAAAAACTAGCAAATAATCGAAAAATGATTTCCTGAATTTAATCCAAATTATTTCAAAATTTTGAATTGCTGCGCAAAAATTCAATTTTTTCATCAATTATTTAAAAATTCACATTTTCATCTCTACCATCCTCACTGGCCACTTTTTTCATCGATAAATAAAACTGAATTAAAACATTCTAAATAGCCACATGAAAGCAGCATCCAAATAAATCCTTCCGAGGAAAATCCAATTTTTTCCTTTTGATCTCGCAGGCCGCTCTCGGAAGGGAATTTATTACATCTTCCACAGGCAGCGGCAAATGCAATTTCGCATCGAATAATAGCATTCGCCCGGCAGATATGTATTTATGGGGCCGTGTTTGTGTGTAGCAATATCCCCTTATTAAAGTGGCCAATTGATTTATCATGTCAACCCGAATTGCTTTCATCTCTGTGCTGTTAGCAAGTCCCCGAGAGAAATCGCGACAACTCAGAAATTGGCTGACCGGACAAAATAGAGGCTCGTCTCATCAGCATC